ATGTACAAATGTGCTTGACTCAATGGATGGATGTATGGATTGTGATAAGAGTTGTATGAGCCCCCAATAAGATAATTTTTTAAAAAGAAATCATTTATAAATTAGATGGAATGATAAATGTGATGAGCTAAATTCTTTTTTTCCAGGATTTTCCATTTGCAACAAAATTACATGGTTATACTCAGAAATTCCACTACTAGGTATATGCCCTGAAGAAATGAAAATGTCCATCAATACCCAGAAAAACTTTTACATAAACAGTCATAAGCCAAATAAATAGAAACAACCCAAATGCCCATTAACTAATGTGGCATATATCCATACAATGAAAAATTACTTGTTCATAAACAGGAATGATGAAACACTGATATATGCTACAACTGGATGAACCTTAAAAACAAGTGAAAGATGACAATAGCTATGTATTCTTTGATGGTTATTATCTGAATCACCCAGATAGAAAAATCTTTGGAGGCAAAAAGTAGGTTAGTAGTTGCCAAGGGCTAGAAGATGTGGGACGAGGGAGAAATGAGGAACAACAATTAATGGGCATGGACTTTTTTTCTGAAAAATATTATGGAACTAGAAAATGGTCATAGTTACACAACTTTGTAAACACGTATAGTAGTTATAAATTACTGAGTTATAAATTTGAAAAGAATGAACTTGGTGGCATGTGAATTATATCTCAATAAAGCTATTCTTTAAAAAGCATAGTTTTTATGACCTATTTATATCAAATATCTAAAAGAAATTTTCAGCTAAAAGGTGATAGTATCTAGTATACTTAATATATATTAATAACCACAAAAATTATTTTTAATGAAAAAATTTGTTTCAAAACATAATACTCATTAAAGTTGTAATGAGAAACAACTTTAAACAGAAAACAAAAACAAAATGAGCATAAATATATTTAAACAATAAAAAACCTAAGAAATGCAATCTATATATATGAAAAAGTAAAATTATTTATATGCATAACAAGTAGTAGCAACATTTTCTCTATAAGCAGCAGTTGGTATTCATTTTTCCCATATTTTGGTTTAAGACTACACTGGTAGTGTATACCTTCTAGAAAAATTGCATAAGGTACATATAGCATATTATGAATCAGTTAGAGAAGATTGTGTGATTGGAAATTTAATTCGAAATAACAATATTTTCTCTGAAAACTCATTCATTGTTAAACAAATTACTTAAAACTACAAGACAGTAAAATGAACCTAATTTATTCAGTCCTAGATATATAGTCAACTTGCATGAAATTAAATATGGTATTTTAAAAAGAGCTTGCTTATTTCTAAAATATCAGTAATTCAGGCAATGGGATTTCCATAGGAGATACATTTCCATTAATTTCCTTTTATGAAGAAAAGGTCTACATTATGAATGTCACAACTATGTTATTAAGAAATACTACAGCATACTTTAAAAATAAAAATGGTTAAACATATGCATCAAGATATTCTTTAATGGGTACCAGCCCTTTAGCAGCATTTTAAAAGGTGATTTAAATCTAGTTAAATTTTTAATCTTCTCGTAAAATATGTATCATATGTATAGGTTAAGGATTATAAGTTCCATAATAAATGGGAATATATCATACTGATAAACATCTAAGAAATAAAGTACTTGGATAGCCCAGTACTTTATTAAAATATATGTGGAAGTATAGATGCTGGTTCCACAAAAACAAGTTAACTTGTACATGTAAGCAAAATGCTAAAAATTTCTAATTTGGGAACAGTGAAATAATATATAGTGAGTGGTTTTCCTCTTAATTTTTATCTGTAAAAATCCCTTTTGCCTATTTATGAGACCCAGCTCTCTATTCATGCAATTTAATGAGCCCTCAAAAGAATGTCCACATCTTTATACAGAATTCACATGAACATCAGTAAACTGCCAGTCCTTTTATATTTTCAGTGCCTTGACGAAATATGGATAACAAAGTTCTTCGGTCTATGAAGCAGGAAGATGTTTCCTAAGTATTTCTTTGGATGATGAGGTTATGGTATCGGGGAAAGACACTTCAAATTCTATTAAAAGATCACCACGTTGGTCAGGATTTTTTGGAAATGGTAGCCCATATCCAATAATTCTTCTTCTCATTCCAGGTTTCACAATATCATTTAATGACATAGGTATGGTTCTTCCATCCATGGTTGGTACATCAATTGAGCAGCCACACAATGCCTAAAACGGATCGAATAACATAAAATTAATAAATTTCAAAACTTAGAAATCTCAATAACTCCTCATATATTAATGTAGTATTCTTTTAAATTATTTTTCACCTTTAAATATATTTAATACCTTTTATGTTATATAGCTCCAAAAATAACAATTTTGGAAAATATCTTAGAGATTGACTAAAATGATGAGATTACCAATGTCGATCTCCTAAACCACACCTGTGAAAACATAATAGACTTTGCCCTACATCAGGCAGCATAGTGTATAATGATCTTAGCATTGGATTTGATAATTAAATTACTATAATAGGTAATTAAACTTAGAAAATAGAACCCTGTCCATAAACAAGGTGTAATTATAGTACGACCTTGAAAGGCCATGAGAACTATTAAAAATTATAATAATCACAGCATAACCTTGGCAGTGCAGCAGGTTAAACACTGGGCTGCTATGTGCAAGATTGGCAGTCACATCCACCTCACAGGAGAGAGAAGAAAGTGACTGCTCCCCTAAGATTTACAATCTTGGAGACTTTATGGACTCCTGTAGGCAGAATTGATTGAATAACCGTCAGTGTGGGTTGACTTGGTATTATCTAAATAAATTCTCTAAAATCAGCTGCATGACTTTTTTATCTCAAAATTCCAAGGCCCTATAAACTTACCTCTCGTAAACTGATTTTGGCATTATAAATTATATTTGAACCATCCCTTTTAAATTTTGGATGATCTTTATCTTTAATGATAAAAACAATGTCTGCTGGAATACTATTTGGTGTTTCATCTCCTTCTCTTGGAAAAGTAATTTTGGTGCCTTCTTTCCATCCTTTTTTAATCTCAATGGTAAGAATTTTGTCCTCAGATCTGTAACTCCTTCCATCAGGATTTAACCTTTTACGAGAAATCTTCATCCGTTTTGTGCAACCACTATATATTTCTTCAAGCGACACTCGAAGTTCATGAATAATGGGAGGGTCTTGTTTAAGGCGAGATGGTCCCACAGAATTCCTGTCCCTTGGATATCCATTCATGCTGAATCCAAAGGCACTAAAAGGGTCCCCATCTACTTCCATATCTTCAGGATCTCGACCACCAGCCATTCGCCTTCCAAAGAAAATGTCAAAGGGGTTGGAACCTCCAAAAAATGCTGCAAATGTGGCATGAGGATCACCATGAAAGGTGTACCGGAAGGTACCACCTTGTCCATCAGTACCTCCTGCTCCTCCTTTCAGTCCTAAGTGAGAGAGAGAAGCACAATTAGGAAACACCTTACAGCCTTTGAAAGTTATACTTTTGAAAGACGTTACTGATAATAAACACATTGGCAACTTTAGTTGCAATTTATTAGCCAGAAAAGACACTGTAACTAAATAAAGAAAAGCCATTTCACTTCTGAGGACTATATCCTTTGCTGAACTTTAGCTTTCAAATTCTTCCTCCTAGTTTTTAGCTTTAGTGACCATTTATTTGGGATAATTGTCCCAAAGGTGACTAAGAAAAATAAAAGAAAATCTGGAATCTACCTCATACACTACTGAGAAATATAAATGTGAGCATTTAAAAGATGACAATTAAAAAATCTTCAGTAACCACTACAAGCTGCAGAAACTACGTATTTAACAGTAGTTATAATCATTAGGTACAATTAATGTATAAAACACCAAATTCATATTTAAAAGATTTATTGGTTAACCCAAATAGCATTTACTATTTTACTGTTTAAGAATTACAACAGGAGACTTTTGTGGCAGAAAGGGAAAATAATTCTAATAATGAGGATACCTTTTGAAAAAAATTTTTTAATGATTCTCTATCTTAGATACCAAGATTGTGTATCTAAGCTTACCATATCATAACATTAATTTTAGCAGTATATGAAAAGAACACTGATATCAAGATTTATACACTATCTTGACATGCAAGGCCTTTGGATTAGTTATTACATCTGGATAACCACTTGGAAAGATATATAGTGACCCCCTGACATTATCAGAAGGTCAAATGTTCTAATTTGCTCTAATGTTCTACTAAATAACACACAGCTCACAGAAATCACATATTTGAAATTTCCATTTATCACAGAAATATTTTAACTAAAATCCACATCAACAAAGTGATCTTTTGGGTCAATGATGATAAGAATTTGTATTATTACAGTATCACCAAAGTTTCTGAGTGAGTCTTACAGATATTCCTGGTCAAGGAAAAAAACTAAACATTATAAATCTAAAAATTATACAATCATGAAAAATCTAAGGGGTTCCACTAGGAGATTCCTGTGTCACCCCAAAAGCCCCAAGTGAGTAATTTGTGGCAGGACATGTGTTTTATTCATTGTTGCATTGCTCACACCTACAGTGCAGAAACACGAGAGTAACTATGTTTCCTGCATAAAGGGAATGAAACTACCCTTAATATTCTAAGTCAGATTTTAACCTTGATTATCAAGATATCAAAGAAGAGGAAAGCAAAGCATCACATATGTGTATATCTATGTGTAGATGTATATATATTTTTTCACAAATACCCCTATGAAAGAGTAATTAAAAGTTTCACTGAAAATACTCAGTATGCTTTCAAAAAGACTGAGTTTTGCACGTCTTATTTCTTTCCCTTTTTTTTGCCCTTCCCCATCTTATTCTATGTTTGGTTTCTCCAATTAAATGGTGTACATGTGTGTGCACATAGAGGGCTCCCTAAAGTTCATGCAAGAATTCTACTCTCTTTTTTTGTCATTTTATTGGGGGCTTTTACAGATTTTATAGCAATCCATACATCCATTGTGTCAAACACATTTGTACAGATGTTGGCATCATCCTTTTCAACACATGTCCTTTCTCCTTGAACCTTGGTATCAGCTCATTTTTTCCTCCCTCCCCCACACCCTCCCACCCTCATTGAACCCTTAGTAATTTATAAATTATTATTATTTTCATATCTTACACCTTCCACTATTTCCGGTCACCCAAGTTTCTGTTGTCATCACTCTGAGGGGGGTGTTAAACATCAATCATTGCAATTGGTTGCCCCTTTCTCCCCCTACCCTCATGGTATTGCTACCCCCATTATTGTTCCTGAAGGGTTTATCTGTCCTGGAATCCATATGTTGAGAGCTCTTATCTGTACCAGTGTACATGCTCTGGCCTAGCTGGATTTGTAAGGAAGAAATGGGGTTATGATAGTAGAGAGGGGTGGGTGGAAGCATTAGAGAACTAGAGAATGTTTCATCGATGCTATACTGCACCATGACTGGATAGTCTTTTCCTTGTGACCCTTTTGTGAGAGATGTCCAATTGTCTACAGATGGGTTTTGGGTCTCCGCATCGATATGATTGTTTGTTTGGGGTCTTCTGATGCCTAATACCTGATTTGAATTGCAATATCTTTTAATTCTATTTTTCCATGAACTTTTTCTAGCCCACCTATGTGGGTATATGCACACACACATGCACATACACACAATTTGTTCTAATGAAGTTGTGGCTGCTAGTGAAAGTTCACCTTCAGCCATTAATAGAAATCCAGAAAGATCAAAAGAGACTAATCATCTGAAAATAATCAAATATGTATTGAATGATATATCCAAATATACTTAAAAATTTTTCATGTAGAAACAGAACTACTTTGAGAATGATGAGGGTAACGAATGTACAAATGTGCTTTATACAATTGATGTATGTATGGATTGTGATAAAAGTTGTATGAGCTCCCAATAAAATGATTTAAAAAAGAAAGAAACAGAACTACAAGAAATCTTAACCTGCAACTTCTTTTATAAACTTAGTGATATAAATATAATGACAACTCCAAATGTTAAAAAGCTAATGATAAAACCCCAAACCAACCAAACACAGCCATTGAGTCGATGCTGACTTATGGTGACCCTACAGGATAGGGTAGTTTTTGGAGCCTAAATAACTCTTTATGTCAGTCGAAAGCCTCATCTCTTTCCCTCGGAGTGGCTGCAGATAGCAGCCCCAAACATAACTATTATGTCACCAGGGGTCGTATACTAATGATAGATTTTTAAAAATATTTGATCCAAGGTCATGGCATTTAACTAAGCCAATTCTTAAGTTATTTCAATAACTTTATCTTTTGATCCAGAAATTTATAAGGTAAAATAATTTAAGTGTTAAAAAGTAAATGAGTTTGCCCCACTCTAACATTCTACAAGACATAATCTAAAGATTTTTAATTCATAATGGACTCATGGAAAGAAAGATTATATAAGTTATTATATCAGGTATCTGACTTTTCCCTAAAACTTCTTCCTTATTCTCCTTAAAATAATGATCCTTGATTACATTAGCCCTAAGATTCATATATTTTTAAATGTGATTTATTTAATAAAGTTTTAAAAAGCCTCCCTTCTTTGCATCTTTGAGGGTTTTCTTAGACCATAAGCAGTCAACTAGTAACTCAAATAAAGGACAAGGTTATTATAGTAGGGCTGAGAAGTCTATCAAAATTTATGCTATTCTAATATAACATAAATCTTACTTGCCTAAAACATGAATTATAAATAGGCACGTCATTCACTAACCGCACAATCAAGCCAATTACCTACATTTTGATTGATCATAGAAAATATTAATATTCAACTGGATTCCCTCAATAACATTTCCTAGGCTCCCACATATTTTCTAGACACCATTACCATTCTGTACGATCAAGGGATACACTTTTTTTTAAATCAATTAATTAATTAATTAATTTTTTAACATTTTATTAGGGGTTCATACAACTGTTATCCCAATCCATACACACATCAATTGTGTAAAGCGCATTTGTACATCGTTTCTCAAAACATTTTCTTTCCACTTAAACCCCCAACATTAGGTCCTCATTTTTCCCCTCCCACCCCACTCCCCCCTCCCTCATGAGCCCTTGATAGTTTATAAATGGGTATTTTGTCATATCTTGCCCTTTCTGACGTCTCCCTTCACCCACTTTTCAGTTGTCTGTCCCCCAGGGAGGAGGTCACACACAGTTCCATGTAATCGGTTCCCTCTTTCCTACCAAGGGATACACTTTAGAATCAACATTAACCTATGCTTTCACAAGATTGGGGAGTCCTGGTGGCATAGTGGGTTATGTATTGAACTGTTAAACACAGGATCAGCTGTTCAAAACCACTGGCTTCTCTGAAAGAAAGAAGAGGCTTTCTGCTCCTGTAAAGATTGACAGCCTTGGAAAACTGAAGAGAGAAGTTCTACTTTGTCGGTAGACTCTACACAAGTCAGAAAGGACTCCATAGCAGTGAATTTGGTTTAGTAGGACTGCAGTTATTTGAAAACCAAAACAACTAACCAATCTGCAACCCATACTATTGTTATAGATATACAATTAATTCCCCTAGTTAGATGACTATAAATTTATCAGAAAGAAAAACACTAGGGAAAAAAACAGAATTTGAAAGAGCAAAATGATAAAATTTTAATAACTTTTATTTAACGAAACCTAGTACAAAAAAATTCTAAAAGAGAGTTACTAAAGTAATCAGATCCTTTAAAGAGATTTAATTGGCAAGAACCCAATTTACTTACTAATTTTTAGAAGCATAGTAAATAGTTGAGTAAATAGAGGGAAAAGAATAAAAGAAGCTAGTATAAAGATTAATATAAAAATTAAACTATAAAATCTTGATCATACAAATACTACATTTCAGTATTTGAAATCACTGAATAACAATAAGGAAAATAAGAAAGGCCTACAAAAGAGAAAGTTTGAAAACTCGAATAAATACCCAACTATGAGAAAATATTATTGGAAATATCTTAGCACATCCTTCTGTTGGCATTCAATGAACCATTCAAAAATAAATCTAAGACTTTTTAGAAAATACTAATTCAAAATTTGATTTTAAATTTCTATAGTGTTGTGATTTTTGTTTTCAAATGATGCAAGTGTGGATAAAATGTTTTCATACTTTTATATAAATATTTTTTAAAGTTTAATTTTTTTACAGAACATAAAATTTACTCATTGTAAACAAACAATTCAATGGCTTTGTAAATTTATAGAGTTATGCAATCATTACCACAACGCAGTTTTAGAACCTTCTCCTCACTGCAAATTATTCCCGTGTCTATTTGTAATTTAATCTCTACTCCCACCACCAGCCTTAAGCAACCACTAACCTTCTTCTGTCTATAAATTTGTTCTTTTTAAACATATCAGATAAATGGAATCATATAAAACAAATTCTTTTACACCTATCTTCTGTCACTTAGCATAAATTTTGAGTTCCATATAACTTGTAGCAAGTTTCACTAAAACAGTGCCTTTAATTGCTAAACCATATGCCAGTGTGTATATTTACTATATTTTGCTTACTCATTCACCATCAATAGATAGGATTTTTGGATTGTTTCCATTTGGTGGCTGTAACAAATATTGCTGCTACAAACATTCATATACATATCTTCTTTGTACGGACATACTGTATATATTCATTTCTCTTGTGCAGATTCCTAGGATTAGAATCGCTGAACCATACAGGAAGGTTAAAGCATCTCAAAGTTTAGTCATTTTTTTCACCAAAATTTTAAATTGTGAATATTAGAGAAATTCACAATATATATAAACTGGACTACTTGTTCTCTTAGTTTCCAAATAACTAAAGTAAGCATATTCAATTTATATTCTCCTCAGTTCATGATTCCCTCCTTCCACTGTACACTGTCCCAGGATCCAGGGCTTAATATAGAGTAGAATAATTGAAAGGAAAAAAGAAAGTAAAGTAGGTAAATCAATTGTGGCTTCAGTCTTAAAATTCAATATTTTATTCCTACTGAGGAAATACATACAACGGTATGTACTGAACAAGACCTACAGGTAAAAACAGAACAATGACAGACAAAAAAAAAATTTTTCCCCCTATATTTTACAGTAACCTAAAGAAAAAATGTTAAAGAATTAATAACATGTTATGAACAAAGATCAAATAAATCTAACATTTTCTCCGAAAAATAACTTTAATCCAATCAGGAAGAGAGAATGGAGCACATCCTGGCCCATCAAGCCTTGACAACGATATTCCATCTCAGAGCAGCCAATCCACAGAGAAGACCATATGGTTGGCCCCACTATGAGACATGACATCCCTCACTGGCCCATAGCCCTACGGGGAACAATACTGGAGACACAATATAGGAATTGTGCCTGACTTGATTCTACCACACCAAGGCAAAACACTAAGGGCATGTGCAACAGAACAGCAAGGGGAACAGAGCAAAGAAGTCCCCAAGGAATATCAAAAATAGACTTTGGGGCCAGGTTTTGTCACCCCACCAGACTCGACCAGAAAGCACTCCTAAAGGCCAACAGTCATTGAACTAACTACAAGCTTTTCTTTTTTGTTGTTTTTGTTTTGTTATTGGCTTTTTGTTGTAGTTCTTGTTGTTTTCTTTTGTTGCTTGGTTTTGCTCTGTCTTGTTTTTGTGCATGTTATTAAGTCCGCAGGTCTGTCTAAATAAAATGGGCTGGATGAACAATCTGGAGGAGAAAAAACAGGACCTACAGTTCCAGGGGGACATGGGAGAGGGGGAGGTGGGGGAAAAGGAAGTGGTGTTAACAAACCCAGGGACAAGGGAACAAGAGTGATCCAAATCGGTGGTGAGGAGGGTGTAGGAGGCCTGGTAGGGCGTGATCAAGGGTAATGTAACTGAGAGGAATTACTGTATCCCAAATGAAGGCTGAGCATGATAGAGGGACAAGAGGAAAGTCAAAGGAAATAGAGGAAAGAGCTAGGAGGCAAAGGGCATTTATAAAGGTCTAAGCAAAGGCATGTACATATGTAAATATATTTATATATGAGGATGGGGAAATA